GACTTGCTGCTCATTTTTGTGATTTAAAGTGTATATTTATCTACGATAATTTTTATCATATAAGGCAAAACGCAAAAAAAAAAAAAAAAAATGGTGAAAATCGTCATTAATGGGCAATAACTCCAATAAGGAGTCGTAGGACGATTTCCTCTATATTGTCTTAGTTGTAGTCCATGACTTGCTGATCATTTTTGCTTATTTAATTTCTATCTATCTATTATAATTTTTAAGATATGAGGCAAAAACGTAACAAATTGGTAAAAAACATCATCAAAGTGCAATAACTGTAATAAGGTGACGACTGACGATTTCGACAATGCAGAATTATTTGTAGAAATTGTCTTGCTGATCATTTTTGTAATATAAAATTTCTCTCTATCTATTATAGTTTTCAAGATAATAGGCAAAAAAGAAAAAAAAGGTAAAATTTGTCATTTAAGGGCAATAACTCATATAAGAAATCGTCTGACAGTTTTGAAGTATATGGACAATTGGTAGAGCTCAACATTATGAACATTTCTGTTCTTGTCGGATTTTCTCTATTCATGACGGTTTTCAAAATAGTAGACAAAACTTGAATTTTATCCCTTTGTTCTATTTTTAGCCATGGCGGCCATGTTGGTTGGCAGGCGGGGTCATTGGACACATTTTTAAAACTAGATACCCTAGTAATGATATGGCCAAGTTTGGTTAAACTTGGCCAAATAGTTTCAGAGGAGAAGATTTTTGTAAAAGATAACAAAACTTTACAAAAATTGTGAAAAATCAACTTTAAAGGGCAATAGCTCCTTAAGGGGTCAATTGACAATTTTGGTCTTATTTGTAGATCTTACTTTGCTGAACATTTTTGCTGTTTACAGTTTATCTCTATCTATTGTAATATTCAAGATAATAACCAAAAAAATTTCCTTAAAATTACCAATTTAGGGGCAGCAACCCAACAAGGGCTTGTCTGATTCGTCTGAAAATTCCAGGGAAGATAGAACTTGACCTGATGAACAATTTTGCTCTAAATGCTTTGGTTTCAGAGATATAAGCCAAAATCTACTTTTTACCCCGATGTTCTATTTTTTAGCCATGGCGGCCATTTTGGTTGGCGGGCAGGATCATCGGACACATTTTTACACAATACTTTAATGATGATTGTGGCCAAGTTTGGTTAAATTTGGCCCAGTAGTTTCAGAGGAGAAGATTTTTGTAAAAGTTAACAGATGACGATGACGGACGGACGCCAAGTGATGAGAAAAGCTCACTTGGCCCTTTGGGCCAGGTGAGCTAAAATATACTTGCAGTGTTTTTATATCATATTGTACAAACTGTATATATTGAAAATTCTTAAAAAGTTTAGACAATATAGTTGTTATTTATTTAGTCATATCATTTGTACTGTCAACTTGAATTTAAGTTTAAATAAAAATTGTTGCTAGCAATATTATCATGCATTAATCTCATATGCATCTGCCTCAATTTATTTTGTAAAGTACAGAAAAATATGACTCCCAGTTTATCTGATGACTTTTAAATGACTAGGCAATTAATGTATATCACCACTGGTCATAATTTTGTAAAACATTATTGAATGTCCAGGATGTCATGTCAGTTATAAATTGAAATTCTCATGAGAGATTGTACATGCAAGCCTATGGGCGTATAGCATTTCCGTTAATTTTTCAAAGGTCAATACTACGTTTCCGGAAACTTAAAGTATACGTTTCCAGAAATTGTATTTATTACTTTTCTGGAAATTTACCTGGTAGTAAATTATTAATACTTGAATATATGTTAGATAAATTATTCAGTTCATATTTTTATACAAATTGGTTCTGGTCTTATATCTACAATATAGTCTAGATATAAAAAAAAATGAAAGTTTCACCTTATTGAAAGATGATGATGTCGGAATCGTTATATTTTTATGTTTCACTAACTTGAAATGACTTTGATCGTCTATGTAATGAAATAACTGATATTTTCATAGTTGGCACCGTTAATTATTCGATACACGGGTGTAAAATGGTAACTATATTTCTGTTGTGTTTGCGTTACTTCCACTTTTTATCAAAATATGGGATCTGCCTATTTATGTGTGCACTACCCGAAGACTAACTCTCAAGCCCGAGGTAGATCATATTGACTTGGAATGTGCAATGCATACTGCTGTTACAAAAATTTCAGGCTGCTATAATCAGTTGTTGCAGGTTTCGTTTAGGACAAAGTTCAAGGTACTCCTTAATTATTTTCCTGAAAAAGTAATAATTTATTTTATCCGGAATCGTTATTATTTTTTCGGAAAAGTAAGGTATTTATTTCCGGAAATGTAAGACTTTTTTTTGCATAACGTCATCTTTTTTTCCCAGAAAAGTAATGCCAATTTGCGGAAACGTAAAACGCTGAAGCCTATAAATGAAGATATCTGTCAATCACATATTAATTAACCGATAAAGAGCTTATTTTTATAATTTTTTGTAAAAGATATCTCCCTTATTAACGAGTTGGTCGTGCACAAAAACATACTGCTGATCACAAGCTGGCAATGTGTTGTACGTTTGCCATCACTTTTTCCTACCTTTAATTATTCTATATTTCAATTTTTCTTCAATGAATAAATAAATAGCACTCAATAATTCCAACCCCTTAACCTACCCAATAGTACAACTGATAGACTCGTAATAAATAAAAATAAAACAATCAGCTGAGTGATTACGCAACATCCTCAGATGAAAATCGTTGTAAAACGACAACTCAAACAGACACTCAAGTTTCCCGTTTTAACAGTTTCGAATGTTAAATCTGAGGATTTTCAAAGTCACAGTTGTATTTATTTCATTTAATCGTCGATAGTATTAGTCTTTGGTCGTTACAAAAATCTTGATTTTCCTTGTCAGTCGCCATTTTTGTTCACCTGTGCGACTTGAAAATCACAAGTTGTCTCCCTTATACCGATTTTGATAGCGATTTGACTTCGCTTAGAAGTCAGTCGGCCGGGGAGTTTTAGCGAAATTCTTTGGCGACTTAAATTGTCATTTCGCCAGCAAGATTATGGCCTGAGAGAGTATATAAGTACACACACATTTGTTCAGCAGGGGTGGGTAGGCAGAAATCATGAAGTCAATAATGAAAGAAATATGTTTATGAGATTATAACCTTATTTATTATGAAACCATAGAATCTTGTGGTCACTCCAATAACTTTCCAGAATCCCACTTTCAAAAGATTGTTGTCTTATTTCTTCAAAGTATCACAAGATTTTCATCTAAGCCATTTCAAGTTATTGCATGGAAAACGCTCTAAGTATCACTTTACACAACTTGAAGGTCTATAAATAATCATCAATAAAAGCTAAAATCATGAAAATCGACCTTGACCATCATTTAGTCACATCACCAAATTAATAACCTCTATATACCTTTGCAAATCCGGTTAAAAAGGACCAATAAACCATAACAAGTACGTCAAGGTCAGATGAACCTGTCAGATGACACAGACATGTACACCTAAGAGGAATTATATAAATTATATATAGTTGACCTATTAAATAAAGTGTTTGAGAATCAGACCTAATCAAGACATAATCTTCAGACAGAAAACACCTGTACACCAGGTAGGGATTATCTAGGTCTCCTACCTTCTGAAATGTGAATCTTTTATAAATTGTTTACACCATCCTCAAATTAGCTTCCCAACTTCTCAATGTCTAGCAGTTGAGACAAATACTTGAGTTAATAGTTTTACCTGTTTGCCTGCTTCCCAACTTCTCAATGTCTAGCAGTTGAGACAAATACTTGAGTTAATAGTTTTACCTGTTTGCCTATGTCTCATTTGATCTATAATTTGGAGAAACCTACATGAGTCATCTTTGTTTATAGCTTGAACAGTTCAATGCACCAATAAAAAAATTACTATGAGTCTGGCTTGGGTCATACTTGGTAGAATGTGTTAACAACCTGATTTGGGACATACCTGGTAGAGTTAAGTGAATAAATGATTTGCTTCTTAAATGAAGAATCTGATTTGTAGCATTCCTTGAAGAAATCGCAATGAGTCTGATTTTGTTCATATACCGTAATCGGGCTTGTATAGTTCGCACTGGTACATAGTCCCCACCCCCTTCTCACCACGAAATTTTTTGTAAAAAAACTTTTTGTAACTGTTAGAAAAGGTCTAATGAAACTCCGGTTATTTCAAATCGTGTGTGGTCTTATGCAGTATTTTCTTGGAAAAACCTATTTTCCATCAACAAACAGAAGCTGAAACTGCTTGTAAATGATTCTAAAAGTCTTCACGATTGTTTAAATAAGTCTTAATCACACAAAAAACAATTTAGAAACATGTTTATGTTTAAACCGGAAGTTTGAAAAGCACCTGTAAAAGAAGAGAAAAAACTGTGAGAGTCGAAATCCAAACATACTAGATATCAACATAATACGACTTTGAAAGTAAAACAGTTCCATCCTGATGTAAAATAGTGTTAAATATATCTATCACATTAATGTTTGAAGGGATTTAAGCTAATAAATAACATATTAGTCAGTATGAAACATCAAAACGGAAGGTATAATAACCGATTACGTTTTGTAATTTACACATCGTAAGCTGGTTTACGGTTGTCTTTTTTACTTTTTTTGTACAGTTCCATTCAAGCAGCTACCAGTTTATTTTATAAGCAATACATTGAAAAGAAACGAGAAATTTGTTATGAAGCGTTTAATTTTTAAATTTATCAATATTAATTTGATATTGAATAATAATAACTTAATATGGATTAGGTAAAATTATTAGTTTGAAAAATGATAAGAGCGCCCTCTACAATATCAATAACAAACATGGCGGAACGAAAATAAACCACCTCGCGAAATTGAATTTTTTCTCTTATTTCTTGCTTATTGTACTCTATAGTCCGCACCCCTGCTGGCAGGTTCAATTTAAGAGAATAAAACCGCGCACTATACAAGCCTTTTAACAGTATGGAAAATTCAGTAAGAGTTAAATTTGGTTAATACCTGGAAATATTCACTGAGAACCTGACTTGGTTCATCTCCAGCATTTGTCAGTATATTCTTTAATTCTTGTATGTTGTCAAGAACTGCTCTATAATACAAAATAAATTATTGATGTTATAAAATAAAATAATGACCAATCAGCTTAAACATGTTAAATGTATACTAATATTGAAAGAATATATTAAATACATAACAGAGGGAGACATAAGTATTTTTTTTAATGAAAAGGTTTTATAAGAACTGTTCACACATATGCAAAATTTATGTATTTTTATCTACAAAATCAGATTATTAAAACCATCATGTTTAGATGAAATATCAAGAGACTACAGATGTCTTAGTAGGTTTTTGGCAAATAAATGTTTAAAGGCACAACTATATTCTATTCACTAAAAGAAATCTATAATAACATTGTACAGGACTGATTAACAGAAAGTAGAAAGAAATGTTATCAGCTCTCACCAAATTTCTTTGACATGGGGATACAAAAGTTTCAGATATACTGTTAATTCAGAAATTATTGTGTAGTATTTACTAATGTGAATAATGAGACTGGTTGAGTATCCCAATAATAAGAACTTACATTCTGATAACTGATACATATATCTGTATGCAGATTTTCTTGAAATCGCAATCATTAATTGTGCATTTTTGTCCATTCCTCAAATCGCTATAATAAATGCACGCATTCATTTCTGAATTGACAGTAACTCAAGAACCACTGACAAAAAATGATTTATCTAATAAGGTATAATAAGGTTATATCAAATTTATATAGTTTGCTGATTCCATACTTTTCCCAAGTTTAATAGTTTATCAAATCATCTAATGATAAAGGGAGATAGCCCTCTTTATGGTTTTGTTGTTGTTAATTTGAGAAATTGCCAATTTTTCTATTGACCACTAAAGGGGATTGAATGAATGACAAACAATGATTTAAATATTACAGCATTTTGACTGTAAAAATCCAACATTAATGACAAAGTTTCAAAACAGTTAATCATTATTGTAGATAATATTTTTTAGAAAATTGGGATCTGATAATTTATCCTGATTAAAAAATATTTGGCAAATGGTTTAGCATTTTTGTTTTCTTGTAGTAACAATAAAGTTACACAATTTTTCTCTAGAATATGAAATAGAAATCAATAAAATGTAACAAACAAAATTTCAATAAATTATAACCATATGAAAAAATCAAATCAAGAATACAGAACAAACAAACAAATAAGTCATGAACAATCACCTAACATCAGAATCAATAACTGACTTAGTCAAAGAAAGTGACGATAGCTGTTCCACTAAATACCTAAAAAAACATTTTTTAACATATAAAACTCAATACTTTAGTAACTGATAAATATAGTTTGTGTCAGCAAAAAATCTTCAAGCATTACAATTTGAATTGTGTACAAATCAGCAGACTGATTGACAGTTGTTTGCTTAATCTAATCAGCAGACATTTCATGCATACTCATACATGTACAATAAATCAGTTTCCATTATCATTGAGAGATAGCTAGAAAATTTGACTATTACTTGGCATTTTCTTAAGGATTTTCCAGAAAAAGGAGTGGTCCTATGTTTCCAAATGAGTGTCTACTGTAAGAAATTGTAAGAGCATATGCAAAAGTGTCTTGACCATGTTGACTCAACAGGTATTTAAAAATTTTCTGATTGATAAAGGCTGTGAAGTGGTCCCATTGCTCGACATTTACATGTACCTTGAATTGCTTCAGTATAGTACCATCAACTACACATAATGACATCCAATCCAGCAATGGATGAAAGCTTTCACACATATGGTATCAGATGAGTAGCACTTGTGAAATCATGCTACAAAAGGCCATGATGTTCCCAAAATTTTTTAAACAAAAATGGTTACAAAATGACAAACAATCTCACTAAGCAGAAAGCTGTTGGACAAATTGTCAAAGAATATCAGCCTTGCTACATTAAACCATTAATGGTCTAAGGCCAAAACTCTTGTAAAAATTATTAAATAAAGAACAGAGTTCCAATGTCCCCAGCGTTGCACATATTTTATCTATCCAAGGTACAAGGGCAATAACTAAATAAAACACTTTTTTTTTGTAGCGCTAACGAGGCCATTTTCCATAAATTTAATATTTCCAAGGGGCATAACTCTTTAAAAAAAAGTTGATCGGCCACCACTATATAACTTGTCCCGAATTATTGCTGATATTAACCTATAGTGTAAGTTTTATAAAAATCTGGCAAGAATTGTACCTGTGAGAGTGCTCACGAGGCCATTTTCCATAAATTTAATATTTCCAATGGGCATAACTCTTTTGAAAAAAGTCTATCAGCCACCATTAAAGAACTTGTCCGAGATATTGCTGATATTAACCTATAGTATAAGTTTTATAAATATCTGGCAAGAAATGTACCTGTGAGAGCGCTAACAAGGCCATTTTCCATAAATTTAATATTTCCAAGGGCATAACTCTTTTAAACTAAACTAAGTGATGCCCCCACACTCCACTCTGAAGTTACTGTATTATAACAAAGTCAATGTAGGACTTTCTTTGAGATATTATTTTGTCTGGGAGACACAAATGATGCATGCAAAGTGTTATTTTAAAATACACAAAGATGAGCATAGGAGCACAAAGGTCTATGGTTCACTGTGGGAGGAGTTATCCAGAAAAGTTATGCACCTCTTATGCAGATATATACCTACGTATATAAAACTTCCTAACATTCAAACTGTAGGAGGAGTTGTGTGGAATAGCTATATACCTATAATGGGACAGATGCCCGGTATTTCCATGTCTCCCACAATGCGTTACACGGGGGACAATAAACTAAGATATGTGTCTGACAATAGAATACCATACCTCATTCACACTATCACATTTCCATGAAAATTGAACTGAAAAATCTGGGTCCAAACCCTAATTTGGTATGAATATCTAAAAAGCTCACACGTGTATTAAGTTTCAAGTAGATATGATCACAACTGCATGGTAAACTAACTTACACCAAAACTAACCATGAAATTTGGATTATAACCCTAAATTGGCATGTATTTAAAAAGTTCACATGTGTAGTTTCAAGTTGATGTGACCACAACTTCAAAGTGTACCCAAACTTAAACATGACAGGACAGACAGATGCATGGATGGACCTACGGACTGCCACAGAGACTGAAAAACATGAACCCCCTATTATCAATGACAGGACACTAAAATCAGTATGCATGGTAAAATTGAGGAATATTTGTTGACAACCCTCAACAGTTTAAAAGTAGAAGATGAAAAACATGATTTTCCATTTAATTTCAATAGGAACCATTGCTACCTGATAAAAATTAAATCAGGATCAACTATATGGATCAATAATAATCAAACCATAGCTACTTACCTGACAGGTGTCATTGAAGTCTCATTATTGTTTAAAAGTGATTTCGTCTCTATCCTGTATATAAATATAAAATTATTACATTTAATTTTATGGAAAATAAAATAGAGCACAACAATGATGCAGCTACTGGGTAAGATTTTAAGAACATACATTAATTTAATTCATAACTTTAAAATTTAACAAGAAACTGCTGTTTTTCATGAAAGCAGAGTACACTGCAATTAACTTTGGTCATTGTAATCATAATGAACAGGTCCTGCCATCTGAAAGGGAGATACAGTATTCATCCACCAAACATTATCATTTCAATAATTGAGAACATAAAATGAAAATTTTTATCTTTTTGATTAGTTTTGCTAAGGCACAGTTCTATGCTTATTCAAATATTACATAATCATTTGTATTGTTTTCAACTATAAAATCTGAGACTTTCAACATAGTTTGTACCTTACTTATTTACCAAACCTATAGGAGTTTCATATAATGCATTTTAATGGGCGATGGAACAAATTGTACATTGTTGACATTTTTCTTGTGAATGGGAGATAATCCAGTTTGAATCATGTTCCATCATCAATTAGAAATGCTTTATTCTTCTGATAGTTTCGTTAAGTATTAGTTATGTCACAAGTATGGAAGTCTCTACTACGTGTAAATAATATCAAAAGAGAAATAAAACAACATATATAAAACCTTACATAACATTTTGTTGTAATCAATGAGATATAAGACATTAACCATTTTGTTGTAAGTAATGAGGCTAATGAGATATTAGACATTACCCATTTAGTTGTAAGTAATGAGATATTAGACATTACCCATTTTGTTGTAAGCATTGAGATATTAGACATTACCCATTTTGTTGTAAGTAATGAGATATTAGACATTACCCATTTTGTTGTAAGCATTGAGATATTAGACATTACCCATTTTGTTGAAAGTAATGAGATATTAGACATTACCCATTTTGTTCCTGTGGTAGAATATGAGGATCCCTGGTAAGAAACATCATTTCATCAATATCTCCTTCCTGTCTGTAAGCAGTGCTATATTTCTCCTTCAGTAATGTCACCTGTAATGATTGACATGTCAGAGGTATTGTAATAGGAAATTGTGTCTGCGATATCAAAAATCAAAATACAATGTACTGTATATTTACGTACTAAAACATTTAAATGAAAGTTTATGAAGTTCAAAAGAAGGCTTTCATAAGCCCATAAAATAAATTATCGGGTTCTCAGGTCAGTAAATAAACTTCTGCATTATCATCATCAACATTTCATGATTTTATTTCCAAAGAATGTCAAGGAAGGAGACCACTGCTTCTTATCTTGTAAAGAAAGTATGTGTGGCAACAACTTGTCAAATAGATTCATAATATATCCAGTACCTGATCTTTGGCAATATTTATTTATCTTCAGATGAAAGATGATATTGTCAACAAATCATAATATGATTGATAACAACCGATCAATATTTTGCAACATTAGCAATACAGGATTCTCCTAAGAACTATGCAGCATAACATTAGTTAAGTAAATATGATCACACTACAGGATTAATTAGATAATTGTTTACTCTCATCCTGGAAAATTCTGTATAAAGTCAATATTAAAACAACTTACATTAAGTTCTCCGTCAATATGGGGCAATGATCCAAAATAAGATTCTGTTCTGTTTACCTGTACTGTTAATACCTATAATATTAATCAGTCAACTTTATTAACTTAAAATTCTTATTAAATACAGAGTACAGTCAAGTCACTTAAAATGAAAATATCTCACAAAAATATCAAAGGAAATTTTAAGAAAACAGCAGTGATAATGTAGGACATCTCTATAATATTATACACCAGATGTATAAATACTCTCTACCTAAATATACTCATTATATGGAATTAACAAATTTTGGGGATAAAATCAAATGTTATAACCAAAGTGAGAAATTTTTAATTCATCCTGGTCTTTACATGGACAATGGCACAGAAATCTTAATTCAAGTTTTGATAATTTCAGGTTTATTTACGTTCAGTTGACGGTCACATGCACAATGGTCTAATGAGGCAATTTAGAAAAAAGGCTATACATTTCTTAAATATCTACAATATCCTACTCATAAAATCCATTTCTTTTGCTACTACTGATTCATGGTGAGAAATATGGTAGAACATAACCCTCACCCAAAAGACATTTACTTCGATTGAATTTACAAGGCCACCGAAGCACAAAAACTGAAATTTCTCCTTTGTTAATTGTGGTTTTGGTAATAACTGAAGATTTTTTGTACCTAAAAGTATTGCCAATTGTTGTAAACCTTTCTGTATATATTAAAACAATATTGTATCTATTTATCTTGTTTTGCTTATTATGCCAGACTGTATCACCTCTTCAAAACTCAAGCCAAATATTTCTGATAATTTCTGCAACATAGTAACTTCTTGAATGTCTGCGTTTTCTGTTGATGTAATTTTCATGTTGTCTGAAATAATAAAGTAGATCAAGTTTAAATATTTTACTCCAATGTCAGACTTCCAAATGTAAAAGTAACCACAACATGTATCAGAATAAAATGCTCCGTAGAGGTCGAACCCTGAACAGTTTGGGCAAATTTGGATATAATATTCAAGCTTGATACTGTCTGAATTTTGATTGTGATCAAATTTTTGACATAATATAGGTTTCTGACACAAAATAAATGTGGTAAAAGATCTTACAAATCTATTGCGCAATACTGTGCAATTGAAGATTACCTCTTGAAACTTTTACAAAATTTGAAATTTGAAAATTTTTGAAAAAAATATGAATTCCTTTAAAAAATTGGCCCCCCCCCCCCCCCGTGACTTTTGGAATCCCCCCTTGGAGCAATTACCCCAAGACTCAATCCAATTTTTTCCTTTGTAGTATGGAACCTTGTAGTACAATTTCAGAGAGATCCATACACATCTAACACAAGTTATTGTTTGGAAACTAGAATAATGCATGTTTCTGGCCCTTTTTTGGCCCCTAATTCCTACATGTTTGAGGCAAATACCCCCAAACTCAATCCCAGCCTTCCCTTTGTGATATGGAACCTTATGGTACAATATCAGAGAGATCCATACACTTACAAGTTATTGTCCGGAAACTACATAAATTGTTGTTTTTGGCCCCTTTTATGCCCTTAATTCCTAAACTGTTTGCCCCATAACCCCTAATATGAATCCAAACCTTCTACTTGTGGTCAGGTGAGCTAAAAAAGCAGACCTAAGGATGTTCGCTACTCTGTTTCAAAATAACAAGCTTTTTAAAAAGACTTATAAATTGATAGTATATAAATAACTTAACATAAAAAGCAGAAAAAATGAAAGGTCTGTGTTCTTGTTTTTGAGATAAGCGTTTGAAAATTTTTGGGGAAATGATTCTCTCTAGATTATTCACACATTTAACATTTGCACCTTTTTTCTTTCAAAAACTATGAAAAAATATCAAGGATTTTATAAAATTTCAAAAATTGTTTTTAAACTATATGTAATAATTTGTGAAAAGAAAAGGAGGGGCAAGCAAGCAAAATTGCTAATGGCACTACATGGAAAAAACTAGAGGATTCCGAATACCTGACAAAAAGTAAATAACATGAGTAGCGAACATCCTTAAATTCTTGTATAATATAGTCATGATAGTCTTTTTTCCTTACCTAAAGGAGGATTAAGTTGAAATGCTGGTGTTGATCTTATGATGTAATCTACACAACATATCAAAAGGAAGAAAGCATCTACTAACAAATCATCTGTTAATAGGGCACCTGTAACATATAACAAAATATACTGTAACACATAACAAAATATATTGTAACACATAACAAAATATATTGTAACACATAACAAAATGTAGTCTGACAGATCATCTGTTAATGGGGCAACTGTAACACAAAACAAAATATAGTCTAACAAATCATTTGTTAATAGAGCACCTGTAACATATGACAAAAATAAAGTCTAACATATCATCTGTTAATTGGGCATCTCGATCATATAAAAAATGTAGTCTAACAGAACATCTCTAAATAGGGCATCTGTAATATATAACACAATACAGTCTAACAGAACATCTGTTAATAAATTACCTGTAACATATAACAAAATATAGTCTAAAGAAAATCTGTTAAAAGGGCACCTGTAACACATAACAAAATAAAGTCTAACAGAACATCTGTTAAAAGGGCATCTGTAACACAAAACAAAATATAGTCTAACAGAACTACTGTTAATAGGGCACCTGATCATTAGTTAAAAAGGCACCTGTAACATACAACAAAATCATCTGTTAAAGAGGCACCTATAACATATAACAAAATATAGTAGAACTTCAGATCATCTTAAAACTATAAGCAATATGTATTGAGGCAGAAAAATACTATTTTTATACTTCTTTTTAAACATCTGTTCCATCCTCAACTTGTATTTAAACACGAACTTAGCTAGAGACTCAAGTGGCTGCAGAAAACTCAGCTTCAGATATGCTTATAATGACAAGACGAAGCCTAAAACTGCTTTAACATATTGCAACATAGTGATATATTTGTCATCCTTTTTCAATAGCTAGACTCATGAAAAGTATTGTATATTTTGAAATATTAAATGCTCATATTAACATTGTATTGTAATATATTGTAATTCGGAGAAGACTTTGTAAGCATGGTTTACTTGTCCTATCAGTTTTACTTTGAGTAAATAAAATATGTTTAAACTAATATATTTGTCATATATTGAATGATAGATTCTTGCAAATATTGTGTGTGATCATCTATATAATAGTGATGAAGATGAAAATATGTTTTAAGCGGAAAGACATCATACCTCCCTCCACTATGTTTGTTAAAATTGAACAGTCCTTTAATAAATGGACAAGCAGATAAATGGACAGAGATCACTCCCAATACAAAATTCATCAGGAGTTAAGGTATAATACAAATTCTTTAATGTGGCACATTTTTTTTTTTGGAGAGGGAGGGGGAGTGGGTGGCTTATACATTACTTTAAGCTGAGTGCAATTTCATGAAGAAATTGTCATACTAGGATGCTATCTTTATTTATAAATATGTTTAACTTGGAAACTGATTCAATATCTCTCTAAAGAAGTTTGTAATACCTTTTGTTAACAGGAACAGAACCCAACACAAAGTCTTTCTTTCTTTAAAATCTGGTACTGATAGCTCTTTCATGTCCCTAAAAAACAAACTCCACAATGTAATTGGCATAAGAGTGGTTTTATAAATGCTTTAAAAAAGGTCAGTGTTCTCCTCCAAAAAGGAGGAAGTACAAGAGTGATCATTTTAAATTACAAAAATATTTACAGCTCTTTTCAGAAGGCTAGCAAGACAAAGGTTTGTTTGACTTGCTTGCTTTGTTTGTATAAATGTTTGCTCAAGCATTGTAATTAAGATTGACATCTACAAACAATATAAGTAGGTGGAGTTAAACCTGTGTATAGGTAAATCTGATTATTTGATAAGTCCAGTCAAATTTAAATATAATGTATACAAGTTTAAATCCGCCTTTTTATGTTGTTTTCAGATGTCAATCTTAATTACAATGCTTGAGCAAACATTGATACAAACAAAGCAAGCAAGCCAAACAAACCTTTGTCTTGCTAGCATTATGAAAAGAGCTGTAATTCTTTCAAAATTACACAACTTCATAGATAAATGATGGTCTTAAAGTCTTGTCAATTTGTGCAGAAATGTCATGTTGACAACACTGTATTTCAATTCCTGTAATTAGTTTTTTGCAATCTAAATCTTATCTGAAATCTTTCTTACATTTATATTTTAAGCAACTAATATTGATTCACTTGGAACTTCTTAATTGTACAAACATTACCAATGTTGCATGACATTACATGGTTACTGACCTGCTTTCCTCTTCTCTAAACACAGTCTTACATACTCTGAAAAGGTATAAATGATATACAATAATATGCAATTATTGTTCTAGATTTTTTATTCTAAGTCTAGGTTACAGATATGACAAAATCCACCTCACTTTAAAATTGGTTTGATAAACCTTATAGTTATTGAAGTGAATTAAAACTTCAGTATGAAAAATCCCAAACAATCTTAGTATCTGGTATGCTACTATACTCTTCTAGACACATCCCTACACTAAGTTATATGACTATAGATTATTTAGCATATAAAATCTGAATGTGAATGTTAAACTTATTACAAGGCAGTGAAGTGTAATATGTAAGTCAGAGTGACCTATTTATGGATGCTGCTATACTCTCCTAAAAGCTTCCTAAGAAAAGGTAAAAATGATTGTAAGTTATCTACTATCTGATGTCTCAACTCTGATGTAAAATCTTAACATCAGTGAAACATAAAATACAAGTGTCCTAGGCCACTACATTGTACATGTATATTCCCTTAGACGCATCTTTACACAAAGTTCTATGATTGTAACTTATACTACAGGTTTTCACTTTCATTTCATGGCATATGGCCAATTTTTCAAACTTCAAAGATGCATCTGACTATTAAATTATATAGCTGCATGTGAAATCATCATATCACTATCATTCAAGTGATTCTATAACATCTGACTTTTTAATCAAAACTTACCTTTCAAAAGTATGAAAGATACCAGATACAATACAAAACTTCCTCTCCAGCTGTGTCAGGTGGTACTTTACAGCTTCGCTGATACTGATGACATCTCTGAGAACATTCATGGATTGGAACAGTGATGTAACTGTCTTCTCTGAGGACATCAGCAGATCTGTGATAGTAATTTCTGGTTGTCCAATATAACCACATTGTAACTGTGGATCTGTAGGACCATATGGCATTCTATAAAACATGGTTTACATATATAACCACATTGTAACTGTGGATCTGTAGGACCATATGGCATTCTATAAAACATGGTTTACACATATCACCACATTGTAACTGTGGATCTGTAGGACCATAAGGCATTCTATAAAACATGGTTTACATACATAACCACATTGTAATTGTGGATCTGTAGGACCATAAGGCATTCTATAAAACATGGTTTACATACATAACCACATTGTAACTGTGTATCTGTAGGACCATATGGCATTCTATAAAACATGTACATGTATAACCACATTGTAACTGTGGATCTGTAGGACCATATGGCATTCTATAAAACATGGTTTACATATATAACCACATTGTAACTGTGGATCTGTAGGACCATATGGCATTCTATAAAACATGGTGTACATATATAACTACATTGTAACTGTGGTCTGTAGGACCATATGGCATTCTATAAAACATGGTTTACATATATAACCACATTGTAACTGTGGATCTGTAGGACCATATGGCATTCTATAATACATGGCGTACAATGAAGTTTGCAATGTGTTTTCTAGAAGATTTCTTGAAATTGTAATGAAGACATTAAAATAGTTCTAACCCGAATCTTAATTTTATGGTGTTTAAGAAAAATCTTAAAAAGGTCTTTTACCTTTTACCAGAGATTCTTAAGATATGTATATCACTGTACATAAAAATACTAAATTCTTATTAAAAGAATCTGTTTTTCCAATGAAATAAGTGTAAATAAACAAACTGTAAAAGGTATCTTTCACAGTTACAAAAAATGTTAAAATCAAAGTGCTTGTGAGCACTGAAATGTAAAGATTGCATTCATTTTGCAGTGAGAACTAACGATTTAACAAAAACATGGCATTGTATCAAGCATTGGAAGGCAATACCTACAATTATATAGGGACAAAGGACGATAACTCCATTTTAAATATTACTTCAACAAGGACATTGTTTATATTTTTAGAACAGATACTAGATATTCATGCACAATATACATAATTTTCTTGACAAGTAAGGTTATACACATGCACAACATTTTGAAACTTTGGAATGTTTATTGATAAGGTGTATAGAGTGTTGTGCTCAAATCACTTGGTTTTTGTCGAGCCTTCGACTTTAGTCGAAAAAGCGAGACATAGCGATCCTACATTCCGTCGGCGTCGTCGACCACAAATATTCACTCTGTGGTTAAAGTTTTTGAAATTTTAATAACTTTCTTAAACTGTCCTGAATGTCTACCAAACTTGGACAGGAGCTTGTTTATGATCATAAGATAATATTCAAAAGTAAATTTTGTAAAAAAAAAATTCCATTTTTTCTGTATTTTACTTATAAATGGACTTAGTTTTTCTGCCAGGAAACATTACATTCACTCTGTGGTTAAAGTTTTTGAAATTTTAATAACTTTCTTAAAGTATCCTGGATTTCTACCAAACTTGGACAGGAGCTTGTTTATGATCATAAGATATTATTCAAAAGTAAATTTTGTAAAAAAAAAATTCCATTTTTTCCGTATTTTACTTATAAATGGACTTAGTTTTTCTGCCAGGAAACATTACATTCACTCTGTGGTTAATGTTTTTGAAATTTTAATAACTTTCTTAAACTATCCTGGATTTCTACCAAACTTGGAAAGAAGCTTGTTTATGATCATAAGATAGTATCCCGAAGTAAATTTTGTAAAAAAAAATCATTTTTTTCTGTATTTTACTTATAAATGGACTTAGTTTTTCTGCCAGTTAACATTACATTCACTCTGTGGTTAAAAGTTTTTAAAATTTTAACAACTTTCTTAAACTATCCTGGATTTGTACCAAACTTGGACAGAAGCTTGTTTATGATTAAAAGCTAGTATCTAGAAGGAAATTTTGTTAAAATTTTGTTCCATTTTTTCCGTATTTTACTTATAAATGGACTTAGTTTTTCTTCCAGTTAATATTACATACAGTCTGCAGTTTAAGTTTTAAAAACATTTATTAGATTCATAAACTATCCTGGATTTTTACCAAACTTGGACAGAAGCTACTTACAATCAAAAGATAGTATAGAGAGGAATATTTTTGTTAATTTTTTTCCTCATTTTTGTTGAGCCTGTGATTAACAGCAAAAGTAGGCGAGACACTGGGTTCCGCTGAACCCTTACGAATTTTTTTTTATATAGAGTGTTGTGCTCAAATCACTTGGTTTTTTTTTATCTTAAAAGTAGTGATGGAAAATTGACAACTTTCAAGCCAGCCCCATAAGGGTTTTTATTGCATGAATGTAATCTTTACCAAAAACAAAACACTCTCTGATATGTTGCAAGATACATATTATTTTTCAAAAATATAGCTTGCAAGTAATTATATATTTCTATATAAATTGAAACTTTCAGTAATCTTCTATGAATAATACATGTATACCATATGACAGTTTGTTAATCAGTTCACTGATTATACCTCTTATAATGTTTACCTTGTATCAATGACTGCCTGATAAATGCAGCATGCCAACAGGTCCGACTTTGATATTTCCTGGAACAAAAGAACTTACATGATGTCTATGCATATATTAAAATTTTACTGATCATTCTATGTCCTTACAGTGCACACTAAGAAAGAAAAATAACATTTTATAGAGGTGCTGCATCTCAAGTGCTTTTCTTGTTTAACCTCCATCAGGAATCCTCAAATCCAAAACATTTTGAAGCCAAGGATGTATATCATGTATATAAACACTTGAGAAATTGTGCTTTTTCTTTTGGATACAGTTGTGCATTCTACTAACCTTGCTAGAAACTATGTTTACATGTAAGTTAAAGTAGATTTCAGAGATTATTTGTCTGTTATGACGATTTCTTCATTATTAACTTTTCACCAACATTTCAGTTGTCATACATGTAACTACTAATTACTATATATCAAAATATATGCTACATTGAAGATCACATTCATGTAAACCATTGTCACTTTTATTCAAATATACAACCGATTAAACGTAAGCATCTGTTAAAACAATTTGATTATACTTGAACATAACTTTCTGAAGTCAGTGAAGACACAATATTTTCTCGCTTAGAACCAAACAAGAAGAAGAAAAATAATGAAATAAATGTATGACGTATATTCTTCTTCTGCATGAACAATGTTTTAAAGCAATTCAAAAGCAGATGCAGGCTAATTCATTCTCACAATCATGTAAATGTTATAACTACCTTTAAATCAGCAGTTACTTGCTCCACAATCTGCCAGTAGTCCCAAGCTTTATTCCGTACATCTTTACTCAACTTCAGTTTGTTGCTCAAATTTTCAAAGCTGGTATCAACTGCAACTATGGTTTCTACAGTTTCTGGAGTTTCCTGTTCACTGAAAAATGGTACACTTGTACAATGTATTTTAGCTTTTAAATACATGTACAAATGTCTTCTTTTGAACAAAATCAAAACATAAATGCATTAATGGTTCAGAAAATTAAAACCTTTCCTGGATTTTGATGTGCCTTTTTTTTGTTCCTATATATAAGGAGGGTGCCAAAAATAAACCAAGTTGGGGAAAACTTTCAAGATTTTTCCCTCCTGATATCATTGAAATAAAAGAACAGAGTTCCAATGTCCCCCGCCTTGCACATATTTTATCTCTCCAAGGTCAATAACATTTGTTTTTAAAACTTTTTAAAATTATCTTAGAGATTTGAAGACTTGAGAGCAATTTCTGATATATTTAATATTTGCAAGGTGGCATACATGTAACTCATTAAAAATATTTGATCAGCAATAATTTCGAAATAGTCCGAGACATTGCTGATATAAACCTTTGATATAAGTTATATAAAAATCAGACAAGAATTGTACACACCAGAGCACTAACATTGTAATTTTCCATATAATAAATATTTCTAAGGCGCAGAACTCTTTTAAAAATAATTGAATGGCACTGATTTTTTAACTCGTCGGAGACATTGCTGATATAAACCTACAATATAAGTTTCATAAAAATCTGGCAAGAATGTACACATGAGAGCGCTAACAATGCAATTTTCCATATTATTAATATTTCTAAGGGCCATAACTCTTTTAAAAATTATTGATCGGCACTGATTTTCATACTCGTCCGATACATTGCTGATATAAACCTACAATATAAGTTTCGTAAGAATCTGGCAGGAATTGTACACATGAGAGTGCTAACGATGCAATTTTCCATATAATTAATGTTTTTAAGGGGCATAGCTCTTTTAAAAATAGTTTATCAGCACTGACTTTCGAACTCGTCCAAGACATTGCTGATATAAACCTATGATATAAGTTTTATAAAAATCTGGCTAGAATTGAACATGTGAGAGCAGTAACAAGACTGGACATACGCCAGGTATTTCTATGCCCCCTGCAATGCGTTGCACGGGGGACAATAATTGTAGTGAATTATATTGTTCGACATGAACAATAAAGAACATTTGAATCCATACAACAATAAGTGATTAAAACTGTGCAAATTCGGTGGATAGAATCAACTGATATTCAGAGTTTGTTTAATTTACCATCTTCTGCAGGCTTGATAAAAAATTAAACTTAACAGTTTAAACACACAATGCGATTGCCTTAAAAATATAACGGGTTTGTCTGTACTCATAGTAAATTGTGTGGTGTAAACACAGCCATATTTTTCAACTTCTTTTGATGAACCTTCAAATAATAATAAAAGTAGTTATCGTTTGTGCAAATATAATAAATATTTCCCTATTAGGTGTGCTCCAGATACAGTATCCCAAAGGGGATAACTGTTACAGTATCTCCATCCAGCATGAAACTTTGAAATTGTATCTATGTCTTTCAACCAAAATTATGACCTTTCTTGAAATATGTAGGTTTGTGGTCAATGGCTACAGTGCTGACGGTCCCAGGTTCAATCCTGGGACCTGACTCAGCAAAAATGCTCAGGAGAGTGGAAATTTCAGTATATTAGACACGCACATCTCTAGCACCCAGACCAGAGTTTAAACTAGAATGGGTACTTAGGGGCCTCAGTTGGTCAAAATGACCTGGAGATCAATCAGCAGATGTCTCTTTGCTTTGTCTGTTCCTGCCGAGCAGCTGGTATAGAATATAATAGAAAATTTTATTAGAAGATAAGTTTACATGAACATTTCAAACTGGTGGTTCTCTCCAAGTAATTTGGCTTCTTCCACCATAATAACAGACGTCTTGGTGTCATAAATTCATAATACTCCCTAGTTGTTGAATTTGTCCTGGTGGTGTTTAATAGTTTATACACAAGTTAGCGACACATCTCCATTAATCCTGAACGGATTCCACTGTACACTCGTAGCTCTCGAGGAGTGCTTCGACTAAAAAAACTTGTAATAAAAGAGACGTAAAAAAATAAAAGGGGATAGCAATCTAATAGACGTAGGCGGTAGGTGTCCCCTCCCACTTTTTCTCAGAACACCATTACGTCCTAAGAATTTTTAACCCTATCCATATCAGCTGCATATGCATTTCTTACAGCCTTGAAAATTCTTAAACTATAGACTTACTCTGGAGACCGCGACATATTACGTGTGGTAATTATTCCAGTTTACTGTTTAATGTTTTTGTTGATACACATGTTTTTGTTTTGATGAAAATAATCCCGCGAATTTTATGTGCCAATTTTTTTGATTGGGTGATACTTTAAAGGTCAAAGTTGAAGAAATGTCACTGGCGCCAATTTATAAATAGTTCAAACAATCTTGGCGTGGTTTTCGTACGATATTCTCTATGACAATTAAACTATTCATAATGATCTAGATAACAAGTCAAATAAGTATTCAAGATATAATGCCATTGTGGACCTGATTTGATTTCTAATGAAATTTTTAATGATAATAAAAAGTCTGGGATATGCAGAAAGTCACAGGACAAACTTGAAAGTCACAGACAAAAAGTCACGGACAAAGAGTCACAGGACAAAAAGTCACACTTCATTTTTGAGATTATTTTTCTTTGAATAAGAAAATACTTATTTAAAAAAAAGTTTTGGTATTTTTCTTGAACTATTATATATAAAGGATCATCATAAAGCAACTTTGTAATAAATTTTTTTTGATAGATATCAATAATGATCAAATAATTGTTAGGAAAGCAAAATGTCAAAGTGGCTTGGTACTTAAACGGCTTCATGGTGCCAAGAAATAGATCATTTGCATGATTAAAATTAAATAAATTTTCATTTACCAAGGTTAAAGAACAATTTCATAAACTGTAAAATGAATATATGTAATAAAAAGAAAATATTTCAAGATCTTTCTCTTATATATTTCAACAATTGTCAAAAAAAATATTTGTGACTTTTTGTCCTGTGACTTTTTGTCCTATCAAATTTGTGACTTTCTGTCCTGTGACTTTTTGTCCTGTGACTTTCTGTCCGTTTATTATACTATATATTTCCCTTCGGGTTTATATGATCCGTTCATCCTATTTCGACTCTTCAAAATTCAAGAGTCTTTCCTAAATTGAGGTAAATTAAATGGCCTTCCAAATATCGTTTCGATTCCTAACATCACTGAAGAGACATTAATTGTCGAAATCCGGATATGGTGTACAAATTTTTGCACCTCATGTATGCGGTATACCATCTTTTCCGCAAGTTTATTGTTTTCTGTTTGGTATTAAATTAATAATAAAGATCCATTTTGTTACACCTTGTGATCCGTTTATTTGGCAATCGCCAATGACAGTCAGCAGGGTTAAAGAACATTCGTTGTTCGACCTGTTAGTCAAATGCTTTTTGTTTAAATATACTTTTTCACTTTTTTGGTCTTTTGGAAAATGTTGTGTGTGCTGTATTTAGACCCCTCTACCAAAAAAATTGTTTTGCATGCACACGTATAAAAATTGCGGCTTTAATCCAACGCAAAAATAGGTTTGAACGTTGTTTTCAATTTAGACTTATTTATATGAGCGATTGGCAATATAGTATGTCCCAGTCAAAATACAGTAAATCTTGTATGATACATTGCTTATACAAACTCACTCAGTCAACTAATTAATGTATGCCTCCAAAATGGTGCTTTTATACAAACAAACAAAAATGGGCTGATAAATAACCTTGTGGTGATTACAAATGTATTAGGCTACACCATATATATATATATAATATCCAACAAAGGATCATTGATCAGGCTAAATAAAACTTGAACTGTTCAATCCAAAAATGTGAAAAGCTTGATTTTAATTGTTCATAATATTCATAAAATTGGGAAACGACCCCTTACATGTATATATATTGATCTCAGATATTGACATTTGTGAAACAAAATCTGACAGATCATTATAAAAATAAGGAGATGTGGTATGATTGCCAATGAGACAATTATCCACCAAAGTTCAAATGAAGTGGATATGAGCAATTATAGGCAACCGTGCGGCCTTCAAACTGGGACTATTATACTTATATTATGTCCCAGCTTCAACAATGAGACTCGAAAACCCATACAGTATAGTCGGCTATAAAAGGCCCCGACATGAAAAATCATCAGTATGAAACAATTCAATTGGGAAAACTAACTGCATGCAGTTCTTTGTAAATTTAGGCTCAGCCGTCCATTTCCTAGCTATTGAAAGGGGGTGTTCTTGAAACATTGAAAGAAAACAACGCTTATGCATGTCTGTCTTGTGACAGAGAACACATCGAAGATGAATACCATTTCTTTTCAGACTGTCAATGCTATGCATTATTAAGAGGTGCTTATATTAAAAAAAATAAACCTGCACGAAATTGCATTCAGTAATATCACTGAATCATATGACTACACTTTTGTGCAGCAGCACGTGAGTCATTATTAAAATCACTGCAAAATACATTTATGATGATTGTCTCTCACTAAGAAATGTTTTTATTTTTGCACATGATAATGATTAATTATTATTTAGTATTTTTGTATTGTATATTGTATGAGGTCTTGTATGCCTGCATGGGACACTGTAACAGTCTTAAGGAATGACTTTTTGTGTATTTATATTGTATGCATCTTTGCTAATAAATATCTTTTTTTCTCTCTATATATATATATATATATATAAAGAAGATGTGGTATGATTGTCAATGAGACAACTCTCCAAAATAGACCAAATGACACAGAAATTAACAACTATAGGTCACCGTACGGCCTTCAACAATGAGCAAAGTAGATACCGCATAGTCAGCTATAAAAGGCCCCGAAATGACAAATGTAAAACAATACAAACGAGAAAACTAACGGTCTAATTTATGTACAAAATAATAAACGAAAAACAAATATGTAACACAGCAACAAACGACAACCACTGAATTACAGGTTCCTGACTTCGGACAGGCACATACAGAATGTGGCGGGGTTAAGCTAGTTTGAAGGCGCCAACCCTCCCCTAACCTGGGACAGTGGTGTAACATTACAACATAAGAACAAACTATAAAAATCATTTGAAAAAGGCTTCACTCATCAGATGGATACAAATAGAAATACATCTAACAAAAACACAAAGTGGACGTGGACGGGTACTTGTACATCCCAACAACAAAAAGACACTAAGTACAGATCTGAGAGTACTCGCAGTTACTGACAGCTATGGACACGGTGTCGTTTGATAAGGCAGGTGTCCCCTCATCACCAGACATGACAAATATCCCAAACATGACTCATTCAGATCATCATACTAGTGACAATAGCAATAGTACACATACACAGCCATGTTCAGTTCTCCTTAAAGACATTTTGGATTTTGATGACTCTGAACAACACTGTCTCATTTCGAAATGTGGAACTAATGGCTACAAAACTTGTGAAATTTTAATAACAGACGCTCAATTCACTAGCAATTTAACTAAACAGTCTTACTTTACTAGAAGTTACGATGATCTGAATTGTAAATCTATAAATGTCGTCTACGGATTAGAGTGTAACCTTTGTGGATTGGTTTACGTCGGCGAAACGAAAGGAAGGCTAAACAAACGTATGTGCGGCCATAGATCAGATATTAACCTCAATGCAAACGACATTCTGTACCAGCATTTTAATCAGCCTGATCATTCCATTGTTTCTATGACAGTTCGTATAATCGAAAAAATATACCACAAGACTAACAATCCTCAACTTGCAACGCCTCTCCGTAGACAAAAAGAGGACTACTGGATTCGACAATTGGGAACTGCGACACCATATGGTTGCAATGACAAAATTGATGGTATAGGTATTCTATCTAGTCCTTCCTGTAGCTCGGTGAATGTGATGAATATTTTCAACTCTACTCCTCAACGTAGACGCAGTCATGGTCATCGTCATTATACATCACCTACTTTGCATGATGTCTCTATAAATGACTTGCTGCTATTTATACAAAAGCCGTTAGGTATTCATCACATTCGCACGAAACTGTATTCATTACCCCTTTCAAAACTTCATTCTCTGTTCAATTTATGTTTGGAAACCACTGTTACAAACCCTCATTCAAACCAATACAAACTTACAGCTATCATTTCGGATACTTGCAAGTCACAGACTTTTCAAACCAGTTCGCATTGGAAAAGATGAAAAAGAGAAAAGATCTTTTCTTAAACTTTCCTTTGCCAACAAAGGTCTCGATGGCGTCAACTTAGGCAATATCCTTCATCATAAATTAGTTCAGTCGAAAATACCTCCTTATTTTAAAGATCAGTCTGTACCCATAATTTCTTAAACGTATACCAAATCAATTGCAACTAAAATTTTCAATTACAAACACGTTTTGCAGGATCTCAACATTGACGACTTCAAGTCTAAACCTCCTGATTGCACCTGTGCTAGTTCCCAAATCACATATAATCCGGCTGGCCACGTTATTACCGGAAACCTCAACATTGTCAATAACACTTCCCTGCGAAATTTGTTATCCAAAGGTCCGAAATATCGTGAGCCTAAATCCATCAATTGGAAATACAACTTCAAAATACTGATGGATTCAGTCGAGGATTATGCCAGGCAATGGGCTAAACGCGAGAAAGAAGACGTAGATACTCTTTCCGAATGGATTAAGGTTGTGAGGTCGTTGATACAAATCCGAATTAAGAAACTAAATGGGCATATCAATACCCACGCTACATCAATTTTTAAAGACCCAAATGTTGCAAAGCACTTGTCCTACCTCCATGACAAATATGTTGTTGTCCCCGCAGATAAAGCCCTAAACAACATCGTTTTTGTGTGTAAATATCATTACATAAACTGCTTGATAAATGAATTAGGTATTGACAATTCACTTTGAAACTCAACATATACCCTCACGACACTTACCAAAGAGGAAATCCTGGATAATCATAGGTCTGTTCTATGTTCCTTTGGAATTTCAACCAAAGATGACGAACTGGATCTTCCATCACTGTATTGGATACCTAAACTACATAAGTGTCCCTACAAACAACGGTATATTGCTGGGTCTTCCAAGTACTCCACGAAACCTCTTTCTAAATTATTAACATCTACTTTACCAGCAATCAAAGCCGGGCTCCAAAGTTATTGTGAAACTGCCTATTCTAGAGGTGGCGTGAATCAGATGTGGATGCTAAAAAATTCCAAAGATCTTTTAGAGTACATACAATCTAAGACTCTCTCATCTTACAATAGTATTAA